TCGGAAAACTCTTTAGGCAACAGCATTTTTTTGCACCAAATGACTGGGCTAATTTACTAAGTGTTCTCGTTGGCGCGCTGATCTGCCACTTTCACAAGCGCAGCATCCAATTTTTCAGCATACCAATGGGAATTATACCCACAATTAGGTCCTAGGGTCTCCATAATCAATAATAATGATTATGTATATGTATTCAGCAATTTGTACGATAGTAGAACTAGTATTCACGGTTTTAGGCATATTTTTTACACTAGTGAGATTTTTTACACTTGCGTCAACGCGCTGGTAAGAGTCTAATAACTCAAAAAGTAATCATCGAATCAACTTGAAATTTTCAGAGAATATTTTTAAGATATTAGACTTAATGAAAATGCAAAAAAATAAAAATCGATTTTTCAAAAATTCCAAGTACCCCTAACCCCTTAAGCACAATGTCCTGCACCACTAGTTTGTAACAAAATGGGAAATAGTATTTAATAAAATCTATATGTGCATAAACCTGTATGAAATCGTTGAAATAAACCATCATTTTCATAAGGGGGCTTTTAAGATTCCATATGTGTGATGCGGGAGCCAATAGATGTGCCGATTTTATTTTCCGATTGAACTCCTTGCGTTCTGACAGAAGCACGAAAAGGGCCATACACGCTTGGGAATGCCCTATGTACTGCAATGACACTTGGCCTGTCGCCTGGAGAACATGCTCGATGCATGTCGGTAAATCTTCACTTCCAATTTCGTGCCAACTAGAATAAATATCTAAATGTATTGATTCTTTATATTTTATACTTTCTTTAGAAGGTTGTATGTTTCTTTTATATAAATGATTAAAATACTATATAATGTTATTTATATTAGCTTCCTGCACGGTGAAAGATAAAGAAAATTTTGGCATATCTTTACGTTTTAAGATCTTCTGAACATGAAAAGTTTGATGAGTGTGTGCAGTATATGTTTTGTATGGATACAATTTTTTGTCCACGATTTTGGATGAACGGATCAACCGATTTGAATGATTCAAAAAACCATTCGATTTCTATATTCTAATTATAAGCCTTTTACAACTTCCGTTCTTAGTGGTGCAGATTTGATCAAATTACTGTGTTATTAGAATTCAATTACGTCAGTTAACAGGCGTGTTTAGCGTTTTTTTGGGAAATAATATCAACAAAAATTACTATATTTTACGGAAAGTTAAGATATTAACATTGTGTTCATAACGAAATATTATGTATCGTAAATCTTCATTTCCAATTTCGTGCCAACTAGAATAAATATCTAAATGTATTAATTCTTTATATTTTAGACTTTCTTTAGAAGATTACGAGGTGTGTTCAAAAAGTACCCGGAATTACTAATAATTAAATTTCGCGGGTCTGGAGTGTCTGATTGTCAAATTTTTTTTTTATTGTGTTGGTATACATGCCCCTAAAGTATGATGAAATTTTCAGCTATATTTACTGTTTACTTTGTCTGTGGTAGTCGCTAAGGTTCGACGTGTTTTTCTGAGCTCGGCGATTTTTGCAATGGAAGAATTGAAAAGTCAAAGAATTTGTATTAAATTTTGCGTAAAAAATGAAATAAAGTGTTGCAAAGTGCAAAAATTCACCAGATATGGCTCCGTGTGAGTTTTTCCTATTCCCAAAGTTGAAGAGACCCATGAAAGGACGGCGGTTTTCCTCGATTGAAGAAAATCGCTGAGAGTGCTCAAGGACATATCAAAAAGTGAATATCAAGGGTGCTTCGAAAATTGGAAAAAACGCTGGCATAAGTGTATTATATCTGGGGGGGACTACTTTGAAGGGGACCACATTAATGTAGACGAATAAATAAATATTTTTTTGAAAAAACGAAAATTCCGGGTACTTTTTGAACAGACCTCGTATATGTTTCTTTTATATAAATTATTAAAATATTATATAATGTTATTTATATTAGCTTCCCGCACGGTTGACTATATAAAGAAAATTTTGACATTTCTTTACGTTTCAAGACCTTCTGAACATGAAAAGTTTGATGTGTGTGTGTGTAGTATATGTTTTCTATGGATGCAATTTTTGTCCACGTTTTTGGATGAACGGATCAACCGATTTGAATGATTCAAAAAACCATTCGATTTCTATATTCTAAATATAAGCCTTTCACAACTTCCGTTCTTAGTGGTGCAGATTTGATCAAATTACGTCAGTTAACAGGCGTGTTTAGCATTTTTTTGGGAAATAATATCAACAAAAATTACTATATTTTACGGAAAGTTAAGATAATAACATTGTGTTCATAACGAAATATTATGTATCGTAAATCTTCACTTCCAATTTCGTGCCAACTAGAATAAATATCTAAATGTATTAATTCTTTATATTTTAGACTTTCTTTAGAAGATTATATGTTTATTTTATATAAATGATTAAAATATTATATAATGTTATCTTTAACTTCCCGTAGGGTAAGTTATTGTAATGGGCCGAAAATCGGAATTGAAAATTTTTACATTTCTCGACGTTTTGAAGGTTTCTGAACATTTTGGCATACCACAGAAAAAATGGATGTGTGTGTGTGTGTATGTGTGTTTGTGTGTATGTATGTATGTATGGATACAAATTTCCAGTCACGTTTTCGGGCGCACGGATCAACCGATTTGAATGGTTCAAAAAACTTTCGATTCCTATTGATAGGGAGAAGAGTTGATTAGTTTTTGGCAAAGCAGGTCCAGCCGTTTCGGAGATGCGGAGCAAAGAGTGCAGAAAATAGAAATCGACTTTTTGAGAGAACGGAGTATCCGATTTGAATGATCTAAAAAACATTTAATTAGTAATGATTGGGAGAAGTGTTTATTAGTTTTTGGCAAAGGCAGGCCCAGCCATTTCGAAGATACGGAGCTAAATATGTAAAAAATGGCAGTTTTGAGAGAACTAAGCGTCCGATTTGAATGGTTCGAAGAACTTTCTGCTTGTCTTAACAAAATAATTGATTTTGGAAAAAAAAAAATTTTGTTACAATTTTTTTTTTTTTTTTTTTTTTAATTTTTTGTATATCGAAAATAATTCAGATTTTATTTTTAAATCTGACTATAGTTCTAATATAGTTTAAACAAATAATTTCAACTTTGCAATTCAGTTTATATAATTCTTATAAATATTAGACAATGTTACAATATTTATAATAATCTATTTGAAAACATTCAGTATTCCTCGAACATTTCGTTACGGTACGGGAAGTTCCAGCAAAATGCCTTAAGGCACGATGTCACCCACCCCACTAGTTATATTAGCTTCCTGCACGGTAAAAGATAAAGAAAAATTTTGGCATATCTTTACGTTTTAAGACCTTCTGAACATGAAAAGTTTGATGTGTGTGTAGTATATGTTTTGTATGGATACAATTTTTTGTCCACGGTTTTGGACGCACGGATCAACCGATTTGAATGATTCAGAAAACCATTTGATTTCTATATTCTAATTATAAGTGTTTCACAACTTCCCTTCTTAGTGGTGCAGATTTGATCAAATTACTGTGTTATTAGAATTCAATTACGTCAGTTAACAGGCGTGTTTAGCGTTTTTTACAAGTGAAATAATATCAACAAAAATTACTATATTTTACGGAAAGTTAAAATATTAATATTGTGTTTTTAACGAAATATTATGTGTCATTTATGCATAAGCCTATGGCGTGCTTTACTAGAAATACGTGTTTATATGTGGTGAAAAATTTTCAATGAATGAAAAAGTCGCCAAAGCCAAGGTAATAATCTAAGAAAACCGTCATATAAAATTGAAGGAGGTAGCTAATGATCCGGTATGATAATATGTCACTAGTTTTTGGCCAAATACGCGTTCACAAAATGAGCTTTAAGCGACGGTGCCTTATCATGGCGCAAGATTCATTAGTTTTCTTTTCATTTCCACAAATTGAGAAAAAAACTAGTGGGGTGCATGGCATCGTGCCTTAAGGCAAATTGCTGGAACTTTCCGTACCATAATTGAAAATCTTGGTATGAAACCCAAAAAAATTACACAAAATGTGTACACATTATGAAAATCTCTATGAAATATCTGATAATTTAATGTGCATAAGTCCAATAAACATTTTTGACCGCCAAATGACATTTTTTTAACTTATATCTATTGAGAGTTTTTAACCACTGGACCTGCCTTCCAAAAAATTTAATCAGTTCTTCATCATGTCAACACAAGTAAAATTAGTCCGAATTATTAAATTCGGACGCCTCGTTCTTTTAAAAACTGAGTTACCGTTTTTAGCACTTTTTGCCCCGAATCTTCGCAATAGCTAGACCTGCCTTCGCCGAAAAACTAATCAGCACTATCAATACGAATCGAATGTTTTTCGAATTATTCAATTCGGTTGATCCGTGTTCCCGATATCGTCGACGAAAATTTGTATCCGCACACACACACACATATATCCATTTTTTTAAGGTATGCCAAAATGTTCAGAAACCTTTGAAACGTAAAGATATATAAAAAATTTCATTTTCGATTTTTTTGCGATTACTATAACTGCTCTACGGGAAGTTAATATGTCTCACGCTGTTTGGAAATTGTAAACTTTTAAGTGCAATCTAGAGATTTGGTAAAATTATGACCATTTTTTTGGTATTTTTGGTTTTTCTTTTTTTTTTCATTTAAACTTTGAAACTGTGATCGTGAATAACATTTCTAGAATCACAGTAAAAAATAATAACACAACTTTCCCAAGTTTTGAGAAATTAAGACTTTTGATTGAACTATACAATTTTTTTTTTAATCGGTCGAGTTTGAGAGGCTCTTCTTTTAAAAAAAGTGTACTAAAGTGTGTTGGCAAGTATCGTCAAAAGTTGGCGCATTTTACAATAAGGATTGAAAAGTTTCGAGTAAAAAATGAAATTCTGAATCATCAGACTATTTTTCTCAATTATTTACATAATTATGAAAAAAGGTTTTCTTTATTGGTGCTGTATCCTTATGGCCTATAATAATTATTTATTCATTATTTTTGCATTACCTAAAATTCCAAAATTCTGGATCTCGGTCTGGATCTAAAGATACATGAGAGCGAGAATAAGTGGTCCCTCTTGCATTTGCCATCCACACATCATAACCACTATTATGTAATAGAAAACCTGTAAAATATAAGAAATGTTTTGGTTAATTGATTTCAGTTAAATATGTTGAAGATATTGGAAGACGAATCATGAAGAACTGCAAATTAAAGTCGGGAACGTATCAAAAATTCTGAAATTGAATAAGCACATGTGGTGAGCATAGCTCTTTGGTAGCGTGTTTGATTCACACGACAGGGATCTTCGGATCAAATCCTGTCAATGACTTACAATTTATGAAAAAAAGTGTAGAAATCAAATAAAAATTGTACTTGTTAAATAGAATTTGAATAAAAAATTAAGAAAATTAGGATTAACAGAATTCGAATAGTTGAATTGAATTAGGCCAAATAAAAAATTAAGAAAAAAAAATTAAAAAAAACAAGCACATGCTTAATTTATTATGGAGATTACTCAAGAAAACTGGTATATTTCATGTTATAAATACTATTGTCCTAATACTTAACGACTTGGTGTGAAGGCGTAAAAATTTAGTTGGTTAACCATGGTATCACTAAATACTAGATATATGTAAACAATAAACTTATATAACGAAGTATAGCAAAGCACAAAAATTTTTGTACTAGATTTTATATCCAGATCCAATTACCAGTTGACCAAGCAAATCGATTCGTTAGTATTACGTGTCATGTGACATCGAAAAATCCAAATAGCTAAAAAGAGCTTGTAGATCGCTAGAAATATAAAATAAATTCAAAATACATCATAAATACCTAGAGATTTCGGTCCTGTAGTGATATATCCTGCGGCAGTGGCTAATATTCCATGATTTAAAAATACGATTGGTTTATTTGAATTAACTATTCTGTGCAGTGTCACTAAATAACCATCATTTGTTTGCACTATGTGTTCTTCATACTGGTATCCGGCATTTTCAATTAATTGCATCTATAATGCAAAATAAACAATAACCTCTCTCTTTCTCTCACACAACCACACACACACTCACAGACACACACACACACACACACACATATATATATATATATATATATATATATATTATATATACAAAATTCTTCTGTAATGATGTATGAAAGGATGCTCCTCCTAAAGTTTGTTAAAGGAATTTTTTAGGGTTGTTGTGATTTTAGAAATATAGTTAGATTGTAGATTTAAATGAAAAAAATTACAAAAAACGCTTTTCATTGTTTGACGTTGAAAATATTTGAGGCAATGTTTGGCATTCAAAACAAATGAAAACTGTCATCTGCTAAATATTTCAATTCACTTATGAGCAAAGATAATATTAGAATATAATATATTCATGATTATGATTATGAATAAGAAAAATGTAATGCTTACATTATAATTGCCAAAAAACAGCTGAGATGTGCCAAAAATTAAAATAATATAAAATACAATATATGGTTTGGCAGATAACAGTCTGCGCATGCGTCTGACGGTTGTGGATTGTCAGTGATTGCACATCAAACATACCCAATATAATTCAATTTGACAGATTATTATTTTTAACTAATGCAGTCGTGTTTTGCCTTGCTTTACTAAATCGCAATGCAAAAGAAATTACTTATTCAAAAAATTATTTAGAAGTTTCATTGTGCCAAAAATGTATATGTTTAGCATTGGATACGGAATATTTACTCAAGTCAATGGAAGATTGTGGATCTGAATTTTTTTACTCTGCTCCAATTTGTATAAAATTTTGGAATTATGTTCATCTTACTCTCAAGTTCAAAAGTGAAAATAATTTAGACTCCTTTGCCACTTCCCTTCTCAGTGGTATAATTTTATTTTTAGTTTAATTTTAGAAATTCATCAAATCAGTTCAATTTGTGTCGCTTCTGTGATGGGAAGAGTCAACATTTGAATTTCACAAATTTAAAAGCCTTTTTTAGAGTTAGCGGAAAATAGGTCTAAAAAACTTCTGTAGTTCTGTAATAATGTTACCATTTAAATCAATATCAAAGACTATTACTATTACATGATGTATGTAATCGTGCAGTTGAAAATTTCATCTAAATATCTAAATCTCAATTTATATTATATTATATATTATATTATATTTCGAGAAGTTTATGTGGCTTGCAAAATGCCACTTTTAACTAGTATAAATATTTTCATAAGACAACCGAAGGCAAGCATAAAATTCTTATATTTATAAAATGGTATTATTTTTTTAAAAATATAAACAAAAACAATTATGAGTTGTAATAAAATAGTCCTGGTATACTCGTTTTTATTTATCATTGTCACATTGACTCGTCATGGTTATGATTTGCATTTAATTCAATTTTAGTAAGTTTATGTATCTCTCACCACGTATTGATTTTCTTTGGCCAATGCAAATACTTCAATTTTGCATATGATTACCAAGATAATTAAAAGTTTTATCACATTTATTTTATCACTGGTTAAAAAATAGACAATATTCCTAACGCAATTATTTACGTCTGGAATAGTCATGGCTATGTTAGTAGTAATATATTAACAACAATAACAATAGTAATGATTATATATTAACACTATTTATCTTTAAACTTTATGGCACCTTATATTTAAAACTACTTTTAACTATATAATATTTATATTTTTAACTTATTTACTAATCGACCGGCCTTGTTGTAAACAGTATTCAAAATGATTTTTGATTCATATAATATTCGAAACAGGTTTGGAGAAAATGTTGACCTCTGAAAAAATGATGGAATTAATAATGACCGCCAAAATTACTTTCATCAATTACTTATATTATACGGCCACTTCACATTGAAATCTCTGTTTCATATTTATATTTGTAAGTTTTGTAAAATATTATATTGCGTATATCAGGGTTTATATAAAAACTGACATTTAAAAAAACGGTTTTAGAATACTAAATTTCCAAATAGGAACAGTATTTATTTGAATAATACGAACATAAATTTTTAATATATAATAATAGATAATAATAATTGTTTTTACAAAAGTGCTGAAACTTCCCGTACCGTAATAAAATATTTGAGAAATTTTAAATATTTTTAGCCTGAATTAAAATTAAAACTAGTGGGGTGTATGGCATCGTGCCTTAAGGCAAATTGCTGTAACTTTCCGTACCGTAAGGAAATGATCGAGGAATATTAAATGTTTTCAAATAGATTATTATAAATAAATACTGTAACATTGTGTAATATTTATAAGAATTATATAAACTGAATTGCAAAGTTGAAATTATTTGTTTAAAGTATATTAGAACTTTAGTCAGAATTAAAAGTAAAATCTAAATTATTTTCGATATACAAAAAAAAATTGAAACAAATTTTTTTTTCCAAAATCAATTATTTTGTTAAAACAAGCAGAAAGTTTTTCGAATCATTCAAATCGGACGCTTAGTTCTTTCAAAAACTGCCATTTTTTGCACATTTAGCTCTGTATCTCCGAAACCGCTGGACCTGCCTTTACCAAAAACTAAACTAAACATTCAAATCAGATGCTTCGTTCTTTCAAAAATTTAATTTCTATTTTCTGCACTCTTTGCTCCGTATCGCCGAAACGGCTGGATCTGCCTTTGCCAAAAACTAATCAGCACATCTCCCTATCAATAGGAATCGAATATTTTTTTAACCATTCAAATCGGTTGATCCATGCGCCCGAAAACGTGGACAAAAAATTGTATCCATACATACATACACACACACATCAATTTTTTCTGAGGTATGCCAAAATGTTCAGAAACCTTCAAAACGTCGAGAGATGTAAAAATTTTTAATTTCGATTTTTGGACGATTACAATAACTTACCCTACGGGAAGTTAATAATAATTAACCCTGTGATTAAACTAGTAGTACAGGGCACCGTGCCTTAAAGCAAATTATGGAAAAATAAAGATGTTTTAAAAATCTTTGCTTTATTTATTTTTTTACTTGATGTTACGTCCTCCAAGAAATTAACCATACATTTCAACATCTTATATGTATATATATATATATATATATGTATGTATGTATGTATTTATATATTGGATAATATATATATATATATATATATATATATATATATATATATATAATTATCCAATGCAGTCTAGTATACATTACGAGTTCCTAACAGCTTTACCCAAAATTTATTTGCTAAATTCGAATATTTGAAAGAATAGTGATGTGAAAGAAACCATGTTCTATAAGCATTTGTAAATTTAACATTACTTGATAAAGGATGTAACATATTCATATTTGCAAAATTACTGGGCATATATGTATAATTTTTATACATACTGCTATGAAAGATTGAGCTTTAGAATGCAGTAGAAACTCGATTAACCGGACTAACTGTTGTCGATGGGCATTCGGATAATCGAAAATCCGGATATTCAAATGTATGAAGAATAATGTTGTATTTCTTAAAAATAACAAATACTTACATAGATATCAACAAAAATCAATGTTTAAAGAAATTAACACTTACTTATTATATGTATGAACATACGTATTTTCTTAGATTTTATTACATGAATATGAAGATTATATTACTAAACTGCAGCATTAATCATGCAATAATTTGAATTGTAGGTATGTACAAATACATATTGGTACATATATATATACATATTGGTCTCGGTTAGTAGTCCGGATAATCAAAAATCCGTATAACTGGGCTCCGGATAAACGAGGTTCTACTGTATATCGTTTGCAAAACTATCTTAATTTTATTATTACCGTATGAAGAATTATTAACTTTCCGTAGGGCAAGTTATAGTAATCGCAAAACAATCGAAAATGAAAATTTTGATATATCTTTACGTTTCAGAGGTTTCTGAACATTTTGGACATCAAATAATTAGATATTTTATAGAGAATTTAACAATAAGTATAAATTTTGTTTACATTCCTATGGGTTCCGTACCAATGTTTACGCGTTAGACGGCGACGCGGCGCTTGCGCGCTTTGATATTTCGTCTTTATGCAGTTAAAGCAGTACGATTGCTTTGAAAAAAAGTTCAGAATTTCCAAAATATTTCAAAATAAATGATTTAAGATAGAATGATTTAATATGGTTCGAAATTCTAATAAAAGTTTCAAATCATTGATCAACTTTTATTGATTATTATTGATTATTTTTAATTGCTCGTATTTTGAATTGCGGTACGAGAAGTTCCAGCAATTTGCCTTAAGGCACGATGCCTTAATTACCTTAAGGCAGAATTCCACTTACAGCTAGTTATAATTTTAATTGTTTTAAGACAAACTTGATCAAAACAATCGCGGAGTACTTCAAACATTTGCAAAAGCATTCAAGGGACAATTATATCGATCGACTTCTACACGCGCGTGACTTTGAATGCATTTCTCAGATTAGACGCATTTTCACATTTACACCGAATTTGTCCCCCCCACCCATTTTATCTCGAGAACGGAAAGAACAAAAAAAATTTAGATTGCACTAATCGACAGCAAAAAAATCGTAAAAAAATCAGGTCATATCAGTTTTGCCGATTTCCACCATCACAGTTCTAACTGTACACGCGTTCTAACTGTACACGCGTGCATAAATCAAAATATATATTTTTTTATTATACTTTTTTAACAGCAATCAGAACCTTACGTCCTATGAGCTGTTGGGCTGAAACTTCTCCTTCCTTCGTATTTTTTAGATGGTAACCCAATGGTTAATCCATCCATATTTGAAGATTTTTGTTATTAGAATTAATCTAATAGGGCTGACTTTTTATTGGTGCAGCAATGCCGGCAAGGGCTATTTTTACTTGGAAACATATTGCTATCTATATTTCCAAGTGAAAATCGTTGTCACTGCTGCCTGACAACAGGCTGCTCGAAGTGGGTATCGAACCCGGGACCTCTGATTCAGGTCCCGTCGCTCTTAACCGCTTACCTACGGGCGAGCCCAAAATATAATTTAAAGTAACAAACTGCATTCAGTGAAGGACCAAA